CCTTGGAGGAAGCTGGTGGCTTTCCTGCTCAGGAAGCTGAGGAGGATGATGATCACACTCAAGGGAGGAAGATGGTGGCTGTGCTCAGGAAGCTGAGGAGGATGATGATCACACTCAACCTTCCTCAACAGGCTGAGGAGGATGATGATCACACGCAAGGAGGAAGATGGTGGCTGTGCTCGGGAAGCTGAGGAGAATGATGATCATACTCAACCTTGGAGGAAGCTGGTGGCTTTCCTGCTCAGGAAGCTGAGGAGGATGATGATCACACTCAAGGGAGGAAGATGGTGGCTGTGCTCAGGAAGCTGAGGAGGATGATGATCATACTCAACCCTGGAGGAAGCTGGTGGCTTTCCTGCTCAGGAAGTTGAGGAGGAGGATGATCACACTCAACCTTCCTCAACAGGCTGAGGAGAATGATGATCACACTCAAGGGGGAAGATGGTGGCTGTGCCAGTGCCCAGGAAGCTGAGGAGGGTGATCGAGGACGACGATGATCACACTCAAGGAGGAAGTTTGCTTTTGCTGCTTTCCTGTCTGCTGCTTTTGTTTCTGCTTTTCGCTCCGGGAGGATGGTGGTTTCTGCAGGCTGCTGCAAGCAAACGCGGCCGACGGGGATGAGAATGGCGGCGATGCTCAGCCTGTTTCCCTCAAGGCCCCTGGCGGCTGCCCCCCTACCGACGTGACATCGACGTGTTACAAGGTAGGCCGCATCGCGTCGCGAGGTGCAGGGTCATAGGGGTAGAGCATCCGCGCACTGTACCACGAGTAGGGGAGGACTTCGCCAAGCTCGTTGAACTTATCCCATTGGTCTGACATCCGACAGTAGTCTACCTCTATGTCTCCAAAGTCTGAGGCAGCAGACGACGTTCCAGCGCCACGAACGTTGCGAATGTAGACGGATGATAGCGGATACGCGGAGAAAGGAAGTCGCCAGAACCTACCATTGGCTGACAGGTCGAGCATGTGAGTCTGCCAGTTAAATGCTGCCTCGAAATGGAACCATTCCAACTGCCGAGCATCCCCCTGGAGAACGTGTGTTGACCTGCCACTGTGATACATCAGTGCACCATAGCGCCCTCCACGACGTGAATTTGCCTTTTCATCACATTCTACAAACAATCTGCATAAGAA